CTCTTCAATCATATGAAGATAGTTCAGAGGCACAGTAGTTGAGGGGGTGGGACAAATGTACAAATGTAACTTTTCAGTGATTTTCTGCCCCTTCTGTCAAGAAACTGAGGGTTTGAAACTGGTTTGCCAGGTGGTGAATACCTAATCAATATAAAATGTTACCATACAATTTACTATTTTTGCTTCTTGAGTAAGAGTTTGGCAATTGCAGTAAATGAAGAATTGTGGGGGGTTGTCTCTTTTAGCACCAACACCTAAAAATTACTAATTAGTACTAACGAGAGAGAGACTGTAAAAGAAAAAGGTTGGGGTTTTTGCTGTAATAAATTTGATTTGTTAACAATACCGCTTTATAAACTCAATAAGGGAATGCTGAGAAAATGATGTGAAACAAAGTGCCTGTTCTTGGAAGTTTTGGTTGCATTCCTTCTCTGGAGCCTGTGCTTAATCAATGTCTAAATATACTGGGAAGGTACACAGGGCTGTTGGGTAGGACAGAAAAGGTCCTAAAATTGCATGTGCATTGCTTATGCATTGTTCCTTGTAATGCATATAGTATATTTATTAAAATAGGGGTGATACCAGTACTGGAATTTCTTCAAAATAAATACTGCCTGTTCATATCTAGATTTTTCTCTTCCTTTCCATTCCTGGGTAGGTAGAACATTTTGATGCAGGAGTGATTGTGAGTACAAAGGTAATTCCTTTATAGAATTAATCAATCTCAAAGGATTCTTGAGATGATCATTTAATGATTATGGAGCACTTCCATGTATGTAGCTTGTACATAAAAGCAGTAGTTTGTCACAGATGTAATAGGGAGGATTAGGGAGAAGAAGACATGAAGAAGGTATTTACAGGTCTAATCACTACAGTTAAGGCATCTGTGAAGCCAGGTCCAGCCTCTGAAAGAGCCGAACGTTAGTTCTGATTTCACAGTTATGGAAGTGGAAGCACAGAGATAAGGACCTGAATTCTAGAAGGGCTGCATAATTGCCATTTCTGCTGATTGATAACATCATTACATTGCAGCACTCCTAAAAGTTGGGTACCAAGGAAATCCCAGAGAGAAAGTTTGCTTTCTTGGTTGCAGCCCTCTTTTAGATGTCACACTCTGTCCTTTCTTCCCCTCCCAATCTATGTGCATTGTGCCTTTTTAATTCTCCTTTCCTGTTGGAGATCAAGATACATATTTGACTTAATTGGAATTTCTTTTTACAGCCTTACAACAAGACTGGATTAACAGTTGAATTATCCATGCACAGCTTCTTCAGAAGTACTTCATATTTTTGCTAGACTTGGGAGCAGCAATAGGAGAAAACACTTCTATGCTTTCTGGGGCGCCATTAATGGAATATGCATTGTGTAGGGACAATTGCTAGGGAACAAATTAATCATAGATTATTTATTTAACAAAGTACATTATTGATGTTACACTTGGGTGACTTTTTGCAAACATATAGGAACTAATAGGTGCAAATTGGTATTAGCATATTTAAATTGATGCAGCAGCTACCGCTTTCTTAGTCTGTAGGCCATTTAGCAAGAGAGACAACTTACTGGCTTACAGTGACAGACAACATTCAGGACTGGCTTAATGGCTTATTTTTATGGAACACATGAAATAGAAATATATTCCCCTGGCACAGTGTGCACACTCAGTAAATGCCTGATAACAGCATTGTCACCTACTTGTTTGTAGTTTGTATTCAGTTGGTGAAGCTAGTTAAGGACAGTCTGCTTCATGTGTGTAGGTAAAATGCATATGGCTTTGAACTGCATGTAGAAGCCTATAACTGCAGGAACACTGGGATGCTGTAGCACTTACAGGAAGTGTGACTGCCACTGCATCGCAGAAGGTCAAGAGGCTTTCTCCTCTGTTTACAGTTCTGTGTTTAAAGTTTTCTCCTCTGTTTGATTTTTCAAGAGAGCTTAGGTGAAAAATCAGTTAATTCTCTTTTTTTGTGTTATTTTGCGTGGTGTTCTAATGATTTTAAGCCCTTAGGTAATTAATAACAGCCGAGATAGCAGCTGAATCGGAAAGTTTGGTTTGGTATCCTAAAAGTTGTACTATACCTGTTGAATAAGTTCAGGATACACTATGTAGGGGATAGTAGGAATAAAAATGCTGCTGTTTTGCTTTTTATTTACATATATAGATATTTTACATATATGGGGGGTGTATATATGTATAAAAACATCTTTTGAAATGCCTCTTTGCTACATGTTTACTATTAGTACATTCTTCATTTGAATTTTTTCTTTTTCTTTTTGTCTTTTGTTGTTGTTGGTTTGGTTCGGGTTTTGGGTTTCCATTGGCAGTACCATCTGGTTATCTTTAAGAATTACAGGTTGAATGCTTCTCTTGG